TGGCCCTGACATTCACATGGCTGACACAAAATATCCACAAGATATTGTACATGTTTCAAGGGTTAACCCTGAGGGGATTTGACTGACCTTATCAGATAGCATAAGTCATATTTTTACTTTTATAGGTCTTGCTTTAACTTGGTCTGAATCACACAGAAAAATAGCGCGACCACAGGGTGTAAAAAGTAAGGCTCTTTTACTATACTGAGTTGTAAAAGGCTCAAGTCAACAACTGTCATTTGCCTGTTGTGCTGGTATCTCAATACTTTTACTGAGATAAAATAAATACTAATAGCCTATATTGGGTTATTTTGCTGAATTCAAGTACCTACAATATTTGGACTGGCATGAAGTATGAAAATATCATTGGCACATTTCTCCGAATACAGTTTCTCTAACAGCAATGGAACCCTCATCCCTGATAAAGCAGAAACGAACAAACAAACAAACAAAGAAAAAATGGAAAGGAGATATAAATGAAGGAGTACTTTTTTTGAGGAAATATATATGTGTATACAAGATAGGATAAATATGCAGCTACTTTCTCTTAGTTCAATGAGAAGAAAATTTGTTCTAATATTGTTTGACAAGATATCATGTCTAAGTCTTGCACTCTCAGTAAATACTATGAAGACAACCATATGCAATCTATTCATCATTGTAACTGTCCTACTAACCAGTTTTGAATCTCTCTCATTGCTATTTTATCTTATTTTCTCATTAAAAGGAATAAAAATATTTAAAACCCTGTAAATTTGCATTTTAGTAAGAGAAAATGATTCTTTTTCTTCCTTGATCAATAAATACTGTCAATATAATGTGTAAAGTTAATTTCTGTTTATTCTTGAAATATAAATTGTTTTTGCTTATGTTATTGAAAAACTTTTAAAATATTATTAGCTAATTGCATAAATTATCTGAATTGCCAAAAAAAAGAAAGTCATTGCCGATAAAAGCTGCATATCTTGTAATTAGTTCTGTGACTGTTTATCCATAGAAGCGTTCTTGGTTGTTGCACATAATATGTAGTTTACGTTAACTGATTGGTTATATTTTCAAGGTAAGAATTTTTAGATTCTTTAATTAAGATTATAATTGATACATGCAAAGTTAATTCAGGTCTGCATTATACATAATATCTACATAGATATTTAAGGATGGAGAGTGGTTATTATTGCTGCTATGGGTTTCAGGTCATTTGAAAATAACAAAATATTTGTTTAATAAATGATACCATACTATTGTGGTATGCTTTTTATGCCTAACAGTCACAGGCTACTATAATTCTTTTTGCACAATGATTTATTCCTATGGAAAACAGTGGCACAAAAACCTCGAGTCTCCCTTAATTTTAAAAAATCAATAGAGCACCTATTACAAAACCATGATCTGAAGTTTTATTCTGGAAACATCCAAGAGTTAAAGAAAAACATGAATATACTTGCTGTTTCCTTTCTTTCCTAATACATATAATCTTCAAATGATTTAAGTTGATAATAACTTTCTAGTGGAAAATTTTCCCCAGCACTTTAGGCAATGGAACTCAACCAAGCACAGAGAAGTCACATAAAAACAGAATCAGTCAATGTATAAAATCAGAAAGAAATTTAGAAGTTATCAGAAAACCGATGATAAATATATGCAGTATAAACAAACAGACACTATTAATTACCGAAAATTGTAATGAATATATTTATGATTCACTTTGATAGGCAAATCACAAATTTATATATTACTTGCTTATAAAGGATCTATATAAACTGATGAGGAGAAATTCAAAACCATATGACAGAGGTAATTATACAGATATCACTATGCCTAAATGAGTCACAATACATCCTTTACATGTTTTAATTTATGAAATTTCCATTCAAGTTTATGAGTCTAAGCAAAAATAGCAAAAATTCATGATTGATTAGGACTAGTATGGAGGTTCAAATTATCACAGGGAAATATAAATTGTGAATTTACATATCCTAACAATCTAAGATCGAACAGCAAAGAAGAAAGCACATAAGGTATAGAACGATGATGATATAAAGGCCTAGGAAATTAACTTTGATAGTGTAAAAGTAATATGAATAGAAAGCAAACGTCCAAGAATTGTTCGGCTGTGTGGTTAGGGTTTAGTTAATAAACTGTGTCTTACACAAGTGTCTTTAAGAATCTTGCTGAAGGAAAGCATGATTTCTGCAAATAATGTAATGTTTGAAATATAAATACAGAATACTAAATTTAAAATATATATGGAAGATATAGCCATATATATATTATTTTAATAAGTTTCCTTTAGTTTATTAGTCTATGTAGAAAAATAAACGCTTTTCCACTGTTCGTGAGTGTGTAGACTGGTACAACCACTATGGAACTGGATGTGGAGAGCTCTCAAAAACTAAGATTAGAAGTTGCATTCCACCCAGGTATTCTCGTTCTTGGTATTTTTCCAAAAGAACTGAACACATCACACCACAGTGAAACATATGCACCCATGTTTGTAAGAGCACAATGGGTCCCAGATAAATTTTATAAACAACCCAAATGACCATCAGTGGAGGAATGGATATAAAACAACTTGTATGTTTATACAATGGAGTATTGTTAGGTATAAAGATAATCTTGAGGCTTTTCCAAGTAAATGGATGTAACTAGACGCTATATTCATAAGTGAAATAGTTCAGACTAGCAAGTGTAAACTTCATATTGTCTCTCTAGTGTAAGAATCTGAAAGAACAAATAATAGCAAAATCATGGTCAACAAAAGCAAGGTAAGTGGTACCACAATTTCTGACTTGCAATTTCATTAGGGAGGTACTGAGACAAATACAGTACAGTAGTAAGAAAAGAAAAGGAGATACATGGATTAATGGAACAGAGTAGAAGGTACAGGAACAATTGTAAATATATGCAGCCACCATATCTTTTACACAAGTCTCAAGCCCCAGTATGGAAAGATACAAAGGCACTTTAATGAGTAGTGAGGGAAGAGCTGGCTTACAACATGCCAAAGACTAGAACCAGATCCATCTCTCTCACCATGAACTAAACTAAAATCACATATCAAATATCTAACTATTAAGTGGAACAATCTATTGTTAGAGTAGACAGAACCCTTAAATACACATGTGTAAGGCACGGTTTATGAGCTACGCCCATAATATATATAATCTAGAATATATAAAGATCACAATAAAATAAGATATTGGAAGTTTAAAAATGCAATCCAGAAAGGAACTTCTGAAATGAATACATAGTTCTTAGATGAAAGGGTAGAATTTGCAAATATATGAAAGAAACGTTCAACATCACCCACTGACCCTTTAAGCAATCAAATTAAAGATATCAGTCAGTAAGAAGTGCTGGAGGGGCTACAGCAAATTAGGAACGCTTTTCTATTGTTGGTTGGAGTGTAGACTTGTGCAGCCACTGTGAAAAGCAGTACAGAGGTTCCTCAAAGAGGAGGACTAGAGGTTCCGTTATTCCCAGGTATTCCCCTTTGGGATATCTTTTCAAAAGAATTGAAAGCATACTACTCTAGCTCTGTATGCACACCTAAGTTTATGGCAGCACAGGTTGTAAGAGGTAAGATGTGGAAAGAATACAAATGACTATCACCTGACGAATGAGCATTGAAGATGTGTTTATTCAGTACAATGTAGTACTATTCACCCTTAAATGGTAAGCTTGACCTTTCTAGGTAAATGGATGCACTCTACCCTTGAGACTTTACTCTTAAGTGAAACTATGTGAACACAGATGTTAAAATGATACATAATTTCTCTGGTGTGCAAAATTAAAAGTGTAAATATGAAGTAAAATATATGCTACATATGGTGAAGTAGTAAAAAAGTTCAAATGAGAAGGGAAAAAGGGAAGGCCTAGGAAAAGAAAAAGTAGAATGACAAAATGAAAGAAAGCTTCTGTAAATAAGAAGAAGAACACTTGAAGCAAAGAAAGGAAAGTAATATATGTTTCTCTTTCCCGTGTGGGTAACGATGGATCTCACTATTCCAGAAGCAGCACAGGTCAACCATGGATAAATCACAAGGGAGATAAAATCTTCGAGCTAAATATGCACTCAGCACTGTTGAAGATACCACCTGCCACCTTCTGAGACCTATTCAGGAAGCTCTGTGTGCAGGAGCAGGATTTCTAGTGCAGTTTTCATTGAATTCTGCCCCAGAGATGTGGCCTGCATACTCCAGAGACAGTCATAAAACATGTTATAAGACGTCTCCCTATAGGTTAGCCAGTTTAAGGCCGGCATCCCAAGATTCATCAGCAGGATCCTACATCCCATGCCAGTAATTTTCCCCGTGGTGTTTGATGTCTGAGTTCTGTCTTTTTAATTTTGGCACAAATGTCATGAGCAGATCAGGATATAAAATAGGAATTATGAATAATTTCTCTGTTAGGAGAATCTGGGTCTACATTAGCACACTTAATTGGGGTCAATACCCTTAATTATTAATATTTTGTCTGAGAACGAAGTACCTTGAACTATAAAGTGTGATCAGAGATCTGTTATTTTTTTACCAACCATGGATGTTTTAATAGTTAAATCCCTATAGAATGCTCATAGACAAGATCTATATTTTTACAGAGAAAATTAGACATCAATAGTAGTGCGTAATAATTAAGGACATTCAGACTAATAAAAGTATGTGTTAAAATTCATAACAGTTTTGAAAAGTTCAAGGTGAAAGCAAAATAATGGGTAATAATATGATCAACAGTGAGCATAAAGAAGATTCATTGTAGATTAAATGGTACAAAATTATGAAATAAAATTTCAATTGAAGAATGTGATAGTTACTGAGGATTACACATGTGAGATTATTAAATTACGAACTAGTAGTCTTTCCTTTAATATAGAAAATTCTAAACCATATGAAATACAAGCCTGGAAAATGGTGCAGGATTGCTAAAGGTAATAGATAAATTATAGTAAAATCATAAATTTTAATTTAAGAAAGCTAATTTTCTTCCAGAATGTTTTTTACCTTTCATCTCAGGAAGAAAATCATTCTCTGGCCTTAACAAAATAGCATAGCACATGGGGGCAAATATGCAACCCAGCAACCCAGCACTGGAAGCCGAGATGGAGAAGACCTCCTTGACCACCATGACCTTCCCCTTGCTGCTGTGGTACACGGGCAGGAAGGTGACCCACACGCTGCAGAACACCAGCATGCTGAAGGTCAGGAACTTGGCTTCATTGAAGGTGTCAGGCAGGTTCCTGGCCAGGAAAGCCACAGTGAAGCTCACCAGGGCAAGTGAGCCCAGGTATCCCAGGACACAGTAGAAGGCAATGAGGGAGCCCTTGTTGCACATGATGATGTGGCCATGTTCAGAGTGAGCATCTGTGTCAATGTAGGGTGAATTTTTCCCCATCCAGATGCCACAGAGAGTGAGTTGCATCAGGCAACAGATTGGGATGATATAGTTTGGTGCCCCTGATGTCAGCAATTGCCGCATCCTTCTGCCTGGGGCAGTGGCCTTAAAGGCCAGCAACACTTTAATAGTTTTGGCCAAGACTGTGGAAACAGCCACAGTGAACACAATTCCAAATGTGATCTGCTTCAGGATGCAGGTGGCTGCGTTGGGATGGCCAATGAAGACCAAGCAGCAGAGGAAACAGCAGGTGAGGGAGATGAGTAGGGTGTGGCTGAGAGCCCTGTTGTTGGCCTTGACGATGGGAATGTCTCTGTGCTTCACAAAGAACCCAAGAACAGCAGCTGTGAGGACAGGTAGGCTCAGGGCAGTGACAGCCAGAGCCTTTCCCAAGGGGTCTTCATAACCCAGATATGTCACAGCCTTTTGCAGGTAGTAACTTCTCTGAATATTGGCATATTGATGATCTGGACACTTTGTACATTGTTCCAAATCTAGCAGGAATTAAAATTGTCATTTTTATGGATTATTCTCATTAATTTTTCTCAAACCCATCATAGGAACTCACTTAACTTAAACTAAATTGTCAATTATTACATTATTCTCCCTTTTTCTCCTCTTTTTCAGCCTTTGGTATTGAATTCAAGCTTTGAACTGAGATATATTTTCGACACTTTCAAAGTTTTTTATTTGGAGAAAGAATCTGTCTAAATCACTATTAATTCAAGACTCTGTTCCAACAGAAAATCTTCTTTTTTTCTGCTACTAAGATCGCTGCAATCTAGGCATGCATCACCACAACTCACTGTTTCATTTTTCTTCTAGATATTATATAAAGAACACCTAAACAGTCAGTAACTCCTAAATAATCCTGATTATTTGTTATTTATTTCCATAATAAATCTGGCATCTCTATGAGAACTTTTAAGTTTTACAAAGCAATAAAGTATCTACTTTTATTCCTTTATTCACATGTTTTAATTATTTGATCTAAACATAAATCTGTATAAATTATTCCCCAGATATTTAATGAATATCCTCATTTTAGGAAGCCAGCATTATTTTCTAAGCTGATGGATAAAACATATGAGGAAGCATATTGACTAAAGTGTTTCTAATATTGAGACTGCATGTATGAATTTGTTATGTGAGACCATTTATTTAAGTTTTACTATCAAAGGGATATTTTAGTAGTTTGACATTGGTACTTTTCAAAGTAATTACAAGATGTATCGTTATAAATTTATTGATTTTAAATATGTGAAAAGTGAAGTTTAAAAATTGTATATACAATGTAAATGTGTACTACTACAGACATTACCAGTAGGGTAAATAAATCAGATACACATATCTTAATGTCCTTGTCTCACTAGTGGAAGAATCTGAAAAAGTAAATAAAATATGAAAGGTACAGTAGATACTATGAAATGGAGAGAATATATTCAATGGGAAGGAAAAAATGGTATAAGGAAATGGACAAAAGTATCAAAGGAAAATATATCTGTTAGCTTGGATAATTGTAGCTCCAATATTTGTGTTTTTAATTAAAAAGTACAGCAAATGCCTAATTTTTTTTTTCTCTCACAACCTAATATTTTAAGATTGTAACTTTTATTCTAAACAACTAATTAGAAATTAATACTATATTTTTCAATAATGACAGTCAAATTCCTATTATTTTGTTTTATGGAATTCTGCATCATCTCTGTTGTCCTTTACTTCATTTTGATATTTTGCATCCTCTTTAAAGAATAGATAGGAAATTTTCTCTATGAGAGCTTTATGACTGATATGTCGAACATGATTTTGTACTAGTCTTATATTCCCTAAGTAGAAAACTAATAATTTTACTGATGTACGTGGATTTTACACTAGAAAATATCTTTGAAAAATTCTATGATTCATGTTTTCCATTAATATTTTTGAGACCCAGCACAAGCCTAAGCCCAGCCCGTGTGTGGGAGAGCTACTTTGCTCCCCTTCGCCCACTGGATTCCCCCTAATACTGGTGAATTAAATACAAAATGTAATAAAAAATCTACCAACAAAGAAATATCCAGATTCTGATGGATTTACAGCTCAATTCTACAAGAAATTTACAGAAGATGTAATTCCTATACTCCTCAAACTCTTCAGTGACATTGAAAAGAAACAATCCTTCAAAAATTGTTCCTGGAGGCAAGCATTATTCTGATACCAAAACTGGGGAAAGACATAACTAAAAAGAGAAATATAGGCCAATTTCCCTTGTGAATGTAGATGCAAATATCCTCAGTAAAACCATAGCAAATAGAATACTGCACATCATCCTGAAGATTATACACACGACCAAGCAGGGTTCACCCCAGGGATGCAAGGCTGGTTCAATATATGCAAATCTATAAATGTAACACACTATATTATAGAGCCAAATCCAAAAACCACATGATCATCTCAATTGATGCAGAAAAGGCTTTTGATCAAGTCCAACACTCATTCATGTTCAAAGTCCTGCAGAAAATTAGAATAGCTGGGCTCTACTTCATTCTGATGAAGACCATCTGTGACAATCCAATGGCTAACAATTCTAAATGTGGAAAAACTGAAATCTTTTATTCTCAGATCATGTACAAGGCAAGGATGTCTCCATCACCACTCTTATTCAGTATATTTCTAGAATCATTAACTAGAGCCACTAGAACAGAGAAAGACATACAAGTAATTAGAATAGGTAAAGAAGAAAAACATTTGCAGATGACATGATACTTTACTTGGAAGACCCAAAAAACTCCATCAACAAACTACTAGAAATAATACACAAATTCAATAGCATAACAGGATAAAAGTCAATCCCCAAAAGTCAATAGCACTCCACTACACAGATAACAAACACAGTGGGAGAGAAATTAGCGAAACGATACATTTTAGAATAGCATCACAGAAAATGAAATACTTAGGAATTAATCCAACTAAAAAAGTAAAAGATCTATTCAATGAAAACTACAGTGTTAAAATGAAGGAATCAGAAGATTTCAAAAAAAAAAAAGGAAAAATATTCCCTGCTCCTGGATAGCAATAACCAACATTGTGAAGATTGACAGACTCCGAAAATTTTTGTACAGGTTTAATGTCATCCCTATCAAAATACCAGCAACATACACCACAGATCTAGAAAAATTATTCCTAAAATTTATGTGGAAGCAAAAAAGACTTAGAATAGCAAAGGCAATCCTGGACAAGAAAGACAAAGCGGGAGGCATTACAATTCCTGACTTGAAATTATACTACAAAGCTACTGTGATAAAATCTGCATGGTACTGGCAAAGAAAGACCTGAGAATCAATGGAATAGATTAGAAAATGCAGAAACCAGTAAAAACAAACTCAACCATCTTATCTTTGACAAAGTGGCAAACGTGCTTATTGGAAGAAAGATAGCATCTTTAGCAAATGGTGCTGGCAAAACTTGCTCTCTACATGCCAAAATCTGAAACTTGACCCAGTCTATCACCATGCACTAAACTAAAGTCAAAATGGATTAAAGATATAAACATTAAAACAGAAACATGAAATATCTTGGAGAAGAAAGTAGGAGGAGCGCTTGAAAACATATAGTAGGCAAAGGGCTCATGAACAAATATCAAATTTTATGGGCATTACTTGAAAGAGTTAACAACTGGTAACTCCTCTTATTGAGAAGCTTTTGCACATCAAAAGAAATTAGCAACAAAGTGAAAAGACAAAGCTCAAATTGGGAAAATATCGTAACTGATACGCACTCACACAATGTTCTTCTCTCTAGAGTTTATAAAGAACTAAAAACATTAAGGGCCTAAAATTTAAAGACTCAATCCAGAAGTGGGCATCTGAGATGAACACCCCCTTCTCAGAGGATGAAATTATACTAGAGAATAAATATATGATAAAATGCTCCATATCAGTAGCCATCCATGAAATGCAAATTTAAACAACTCTGGGATAACATCTCACCCCAGAAGAATGGCTATCATAGAGAAATCAACCAAGAACAAATGTTAGAGAGGCAGCAGGGAAAAAGGAACCCTTCTCCACTCTTGGTGGGAATGTAGACTGGTGCAACTGTTATGGAAATCTGTGTGGAGACTCCTTACAAAACTAGAATTGGAAATCCCTTTCTAACCAGCTATCTCTCTTCTGGGAATTTTCCCAGAGGACCTGAAAATATGATATCATCATGATCTTTGTACCCCTAGATTTATAGCAGCACAATTTGTGATAGTCAAGCCTTGGAAGCATCCAAACTGCCAGTCACCAGAGGAATAGATGAAAAAGTTGTGGATTTTATATACAATGGAGTATTACTCAGCCATAAAGAATGATAAACTCAAAGCCTTTTTATTTAAATGCTTACCATTTAAAGGTATACTCATAAGTGAAATAAACCAGACTCACATGTGTAAATAATGTGTAGTCTCCCTAGTGTAAGAACTCAAAAGAAGAAATAATAATAGAAAGATATAACAGAATTAAAATGACAGTAAGAACTTAAGGATTACACAACACATAGAGGTTAAGGAGAAAAGGTAGGAAACATGGCAGGGGCAGAGCCATACATTTATATGCACAAGATAATTAAGGTAATTATCCTGAGAATCATCAGCAGGTCTTTTGAATCTAGCAGTTAATTGGTAGGATTCTCACCCTGACTAACTATGTATGCTGATACATGTGTACAAAGCAACTGCACTGAAAATATCCATGTGTAATAGTAGAGTCATGCTTGGAATGTCTTTCATTTTGGTCTTCTACATAAGTACTTCTTGTCATGTCATATCAATTACTGGTATATTGTCTTCAAGTAAGTATTTCTTTTAAGAAAGTTTAATAACTGAAAACAAGACACAAGAAAAAAAGGCATATGCTTGTCCTTCTGCAATGCTGTATATCATTAGGTTTATAAATTTCTGTGTAAAAATATGTAATTGCTTATTCCCACTGTTTTAAATATTCTTTTTTATTTTGTATTTTTTTCTTCGTATTCCATAGGGATTTAAAGTTTAACATATAAATACTTGATGGAAATTACTTGTTCTATGTTATGTCTACGATGTTTGAAGTTCAGACAGCCAGGTTAAGCTCAACTGCCTGTTATGGGGTTATAATACCATTAAGCTTCTTTTCTGGAGGTTTAACACCTTAAGTTTGCACGCCAAAAACTAGAGGAAGAGAAGGGCTGCTAGACCAATATTTTGGCCGTGGCATTGAAGGGCACTGAGGACTCAGGACATAAAAGAAGCTGTACTGTATCATCCTGTAACTCAGTGATGTCCCAAATTTTGTGATAAAGGAGATTATGGTTCCACAAAGGAATGTGATCAACAATGAAGAGTGAGCCTAATATTTGGTCACACTGAGACAAGACATTCTCTCATTCTTTCACAGAGGGCAAAAAGGTCAAGCAATAGCCATGACTCATCGACATGGCTGACACTGACAAAGGATCTACAAACTACGGTACAGGCTTTCAGGATAAACCCTAGGGCATTTGACTCAAATTCTCAGATACAACAGTTACATTTCTTGGTATATAGTTCTTTCTTTATTTTGGTCTTAACCACTCATCAGAAAAGTATAAAAATGAGGTATAAAAAGTAAAGCCATATTAATATCCTGCGCCGTAAATGACTCAATTCAACCACTTCTGACATTGCCAGTCCTGAGGATAACCCACTATTGTTTTGGTCTACTAGCACATTTAATTGTATTTTGTACACCGAGTTTAAACATGGCGTACTGTCCCTGAATTGAACCGGTTTATTTACTTTATAAATGAAAGTGACTGGAATTTGTTTCTTCTAAGTGCATTTTCAGCTATGAGTAACATCATTTAGCTCTTTTTAAAAGTTTACTTATTATTATTATTATTATTTTTATTAAGAGATACATAACAAAGAAATTGTTTCAAAACAGGTTTTAGGACAGTTGCAGTAATTAACACATTGAATATTGTTGTCTTCATAGCAGTAAATCATAGTACAAGATGCAGACATGTTATCTTGTTCAAACACTATTAGTATAATTCTTTAATCTCATTGAATTAAGAGAAAGTAGCTGTATATATATATCTTAACTATTTTGTATACACACACA